TTTTTTTTTTTTTTTAATTCAATCGGCGGCAGAATTGATCACTTCGATTAGAGGATTCGTTGCGGCAAATCTAAAGCTAAACATGCTATTCGTTTTATGCAATGTATAAATTTTATGTTACAATTCATCTCGTTGTTCGTATTGTCTTATAATAATTTGTAATGTTACTGATTATTTATCAGTACCTGGTAAATTTAATTATTGATATTAACTTATACAAATTTATTATATACAATATATTCATGTACACATTATTATTATATAATAAATATTTTATAATAATAATAATGTATATAATAATACATTATTTTCATATTAATAAATATCTAAAAAATTAAGTACATATAATAATAATAATATATAATTACATTTACCGTATAGTAAGTTTTTTATTTCTGTTTTCATACCGCCAATTGCAACTTAAAAAGAAAAAATATCTAGACATTGCCTAGTAAGCCTAGTCTCTCCAGCATCTCGGAACAATGCAAGTCATTCTCGTGGACTTTTATAAACAAGTTATCGTGCTGTCCGAGTATCAATGCCAGTCGCTGCACGTACAAAAATGTGCACGTTATTTCTTAAAGAAACGTGCTTAACGATTTCGACGAATTAACAATTGCCACGAATGCAGAAAGATCCGCAGTCTCTCTTTCTCTCTCTCTCTCTCTCTCTCTCTCTCTCTCTCTCTCTCTGTCCGTCGCCGTGAAATAACGATTTATTAGAGTTCGACAGAAATGGGGGGAGGGGGGTGTACCTTTTCTCTCCGTTTGTATCGTAGCCGACGACCGTATCTCGGGCACAAGGTGTAGAGCCACGTGTACAAGAAACAGGAATTGCTTTTGTGCAGCATACGGAAAGGTGTTTCTGGTGAGGAAGAGGATAGGCACCGACGCTGGTCGTCTTTATGCCATGAAAGTCCTGAAGAAAGCGTTCATCGTGCAGAAGAAGAAAACGACGGAGCATACGAAGACAGAAAGACAAGTTCTGGAGGCTGTACGGGACAGCCCTTTTTTAGTAACGCTCCACTACGCGTTCCAGACGGACGCGAAGCTTCATTTGATATTAGGTAAGACATACACGGGGTGACTCTCGACTGTTTAAGGGTGGCGGTCGGCACTCTTCGAGGTTTTCCTCGGCATTTTTTTTCCTCCCAAGAATTCGCGAACTTGTTCTGTCCTGATATTTTTTGCACACTTTTTTTCTTCTATCGATTAGGGTGAAGGTACACATTTCTGCGGGTGCACCCATTGCTGCGGGCGTAATCGTTACTGCGGGTGTAATGATTGCTGCGGAATATTTTTATTGAGATTAAAGGTGGAAATAGTGCAACTAAAGCTTGTCACCGCAGCAATAGGTACCTTCGCCTTATTCCGGGCACACGTTGCACCTTTTTCGAGCCGAATTATAAATATTATATCATATATATATAAATATTTAGAATTATATATAAATATTTGGAATATATTCGAATATAAATATTTTGCAATCGAGAAGTTAAGCGTGCATTTTACAAGCTACAATATGCGCGAGAATGGCCGAAGTGTGTTATTGTTCTAAAAAATGGCGGGGCTCTCTTCGATGCTCGAATTGTTTCAAGGTCGATTACAAAACACTCCGGCTGACCCAGAAAATATTATCTCGAAACTTTGACCTCTCGCGGTTGCTTTCGCTATTACCGTTTCTTTCGACGGTCACTTGGAATCGCTGTAATTTAATTAGCCACACCAAAGCGATACTTTATTAAACGCACCCTCGTCCGTTAGATCGACCTTAAATAACAACCCGTTTAAAAATAATTCTGTGCACATGTTCCGCGCGCGTCGCGAGAACCTGCGACGCTCGTAGCGAGCCTACGATGTAAATTATTTGTGCAAATACGCATTCTTTACGATCGGGGAATAAATTTAGAAATAACGCGTTTCCCATGATTCTGGCCGACGATGAATAAATTTATAATTTTACGATACTATTGAGTGGCTCCGTGGGTCACTGTGCATCGTAAACGTAAATTCTCTGTTCGGTCATACGTCGCTTTTCCACTTGCGATGCTAAATAATAGCACGAATAACCATACAAATCCAACTCGATGCTAAAAATCATCGACAAGACCGGAGGAAAAGAAACAAGAGTCATTTTTTTTAGATAATCTAATCACGAATATTTTCGATGACTATCTAATCGCTGGCAATTTTATAGCGGATGTGAAATGTCTTTGGACACCTTTTAAAACGGTAGAACTTTTCCGAAATTGGACTATAAGTGACTTGAATTTATTTTAAATGCTTATTTTGCTATTACTATTTTTAATACTTCAATCTATCGTTGTTCGCTTATAAAAATGATTAAAGAAAGAAAGAACGTGTTCTGCCTAGTTTTTCTATTGCTCGCAATTGACGCGGACAATCTTTATTTTGCATTTCTTGAATTTTTATTATAGATATTAATAAGTTAAAAATCTTTTTTGACGCACGAAGAAATAAGAAAATTAACGAGAAGTATACTAGACACTGTACAGAGTAAACAGGTCCCCGTAACATCTCCAAAAAATTCAAGTACTTTCGTCCGCTTATAAAAACAGTGTATTCTGTTTTAAAAGATGTCCAAAGACTTTTTACAGAACCTTTTTAGCGATCGTAGTTTGTAAACGAGCCGTGACGCGGATAATTTTTAGCTAGCTCGGCCAACAGTTTTCAGTCATTTTTGCTGAAAGTTTGTTTTCGTTTCGACTCCGTTTCGAAATCGCGTTGCGATCGAGAACGTCCGATTTCGATCGATCGATCGATCGCCGCACAGAGTGGTTTGGCAATTCGCTTTCCGTGGCTGATATTATTTTAGCGTAGTTTCAAGGTTTTAAGGTTACGGTATAATAGGTCATCGAGTTCGTGTTGACTAGAATATTCAACGCTAGAATATTGTCGAGTCGAAAATATTTAACGCTCGTTTTATGCAATTAAAGTAGAATATCGGAAGAATTTAAGAACACTGTTACATTATATTCAATCGATTTTTATTTATCACTCGTTTCATACAATTGCTGATGAAAATGTTTATCTTGCATGAAGATCCCGTGTCTAATAATTAGTTTTATCCTTCATTCGCATAATTTGGATTTCGAATTTATATTTCTCATAAAAAGAAAAAAAAATATATATATATAATATTAAACAAAATTAGTAGATATAATAATATTATATAATATTCAATATTATATGTTAACTCTAACAGGATACCATCTTCGCAGCAATAAAAAAATTCGTCTAAATCGAGAAGCTGAGAAATTGGATTTTTGGCACAGGATTCCGCTTTCCAGATCGCCGCGAGCCGGTCGATTCGCGCGATTCGAACGCGGAAAAAAAATAGTTCGTTGTTCCCGAAGTTCTAGGAGTATTTTTCCTTTGGCCGTGCCACGGTTCTCGCGTATCATGATCGGCTATTTTAAGGTTTCGCGGGTATTCGCGCAAACAACCGTCTCCATTGAGCCGGCCGTCCGATGATCGCGTGTCCACCGGCTCGTCCCGATTTTCCCAAACTCTATATCATCGTCCCTCGGCCCGAAAAGGTTAAACAACGAGAACTCTGCTTAACTTCCAGATTATGTCAGCGGAGGAGAACTGTTTACGCATTTATATCAGCGGGAGCACTTCACCGAGGACGAAGTGCGGATTTACATAGGCGAAATTATTTTGGCGCTGGAACATTTGCACAAGGTAAACCGCTGATCTTTTTCTCCCCTCTTTATTTATGTGTTCGATCTTTTTAATTTCGTTGCTCGACTGATATCGAGTTTCTTATCGGCGGAAATGAAACGAGCGAGCCGAAGTTATTGGGCAAATTATAATTAACTCGCTCCGACGAGGATTGCTTTGTCTTTAAGAAATCATGGACTTAAAATCGGATTTGCTTCTAATTTTACACTCGTCCGAGTGAAATTATCGAACGGATTCTGAGTAACTTCCTTATGGAGGTATTCTAGTGTTCATTGCGTTTTTTTGTTTAACTTTCTTTGGAATCTTCTGTCGCGAAGAAATTATAACATCTTTTGCAGTATATTTGTTTTAATTTTTTATTTTCATTATGTCTTATTTTTATTATATTTTAGTCTTTATTATTATTTGTATTTCATTTCATTATTATTTTATTTTTTGTTTTATTTATTTTCCACTTTGTCGTATGCACTAAATAAAATAATATCGCGTCTTCATTATAATATGTACTTTTAATTTAATAAGCTGTATATTTGTGAAAATATGAATTTTTACTAAAATGTTAGCGAATCATGGTTACTTAACTTCTGTTCAACGATTCACACCAGAATACCACCGTAATCTAGTCTGATAATCGAAGTTTGAACGGCAGGTTGGTATCGTGAATGGATCGAAGTAAATTAGAAGTTCCTTTGAGACATAATGGGAGATTAGCCTTGTTTTATTCGTGGCATTCGTGTTGCCGCAACTGCAGAAAATCCGCAGCCTAGCCGCGACTGTTCATTTATCGGCAGATATCCGTAACCCTCCCCTTCGTGATCCATTCGACGAGAACAACAGTTGTCTTTCCCTCTTTCCTTCCAGCGATTTCAATTATCTAGAGGTTTCATTTCTTCAAATAAAACTGTGCAACGTATTTATAATTAATTATTTCGAACCGATCGATACGTCGACAGTTTGCAGAGTTTCGTTCGAAAATATTTTTCACGTCGAACAGTTCGGTATTATTCGGAATTAAGATAATTATCCGAACGAATTCTTTTTGGTCGAATATTTTATTGTTCCATTATTCGTCGTCAATTATTCTAATCTATTTAATCGAGTAAAATCGTATTAATTTCTATTCTTATATAATTAATTATTCGAACAATTCTTTATCGGAACAAATCCTTATTCCAATAAAATCGTATTCGCTTACATTGTAACAACAAATAATTACAACGAATAATCTAGATAAATTTGTGCTCGCCGAACTCTGTTTCGAACGGTGTCGTAGAATAAACCACAAACAGCGTCCCCCATGGGATCTCCATGCGACTAACAATATTTCTGTTGCAGCTGGGAATCATCTACAGGGATATAAAATTGGAAAACATTTTATTGGACGGTGAAGGACATATCGTACTAACGGACTTCGGTCTGAGCAAAGAGTTCCTGCCGCACGAAAGGGACAGCAACGCTCGCGCCTATTCCTTTTGCGGAACCATAGAGTATATGGCACCGGAAGTGGTACGAGGGGGCTCTGCGGGCCACGATTTTGTGAGTCAGGATGAATTTACATCACGGTTTTGCTTTCTCTCTCTCGCTCTGTTCCCTCGCCGTTCTTGGAAGTCGGCTATCGCGCCCCGAGCATCGTCACTGTCGAACTAGGTGTTTATCGGCCCGTTGTTTATTCCGATAATCGGTCCGACCGTTTCGCGAAGCGGCCGCACATGGGAACGTGGAAAACGACGACGCGACGCGACGCGCGACCTCTTTATCATCGCCGTTTCCGCCTTTGTACGGAGTATACGGAGGTCTGGCTACTCTCGAGGCAACGGGAAACGCGTTGCACAAGCAGCTTTGTCTGCAATCTTGTTTCCACTGGATCGTCTTAAGCCCGCCAATCGTTCCTTTTCCGTTTCAAAGTCAACCAAACAATTCTTATGTTACGTAAAAATATTAGCAGAATGTAAGAACGCTTATCGCATTGTTTTCAATCGATTAAAACTGTTAGAAGAGGAAGTACAGAATAGAGAGAAAGTATTGGAAGAATGTGTAAGAATGCTGTTACATTATTCTCAATCGATTAAAACTGTTAGAAAAAGAAATACAGAATAGAGAAAGTATTGGGAGAATTCAAGAATACCGTTATATTATTCTCAATTGTTTAAGACTGTTAGAGGAGGAAATACAGAATAGAGAAGGTATTGCAAGAATTCAAGAATACTGTCACATTATTTTCAATTGTTTAAGACCATTCAAAGATGACATACACTCGCATTTATCTCCTCTGGCTTCGTACAATTACTGATTTGTGCATTGCATAAACATCCGTTTGTCTAGTGAAACAAAGGGAAACAGCGGAGTAGGACGATCCATTATTCACAACATCTATAACAACTGTAACGCGTTCTCCTTGCGGTAAATAGAATTCTCGGGCACCGGTGGCCGACCTTTAAATGTTAAAGTACAGAGTGCGCTCGAATAACGAGAATCCTAAATTCGAGTAGCCGGTGCGCGCGACCGTGAAGGCTGCCCGTACTTCAAACGATCCTCTAACGGGCTTTCCAAGAACCGGGGGCGGGAGAGACATTCCTTAAGGCGATGATCGAAACGTGAACGATTTTCAGGCGGTGGACTGGTGGAGCGTGGGCGTGCTCACGTACGAATTGTTGACCAGCGCCTCTCCTTTTACGGTCGAAGGGGAGAAGAACACCCAGCAGGATATCTCCCGAAGAATCCTGAAGACGGATCCGCCGATCCCGAGCCACCTGAGTCACACGGTTCGGGACTTCATCCTGCGACTGCTGATGAAGGACCCACGGCAGAGACTGGGCGGCGGTCCGAACGACGCGAAAGAGTTGAAGGACCATGCGTTCTTCCGTAAAGCGCCGGCACCGTTCAGCTGGAGCGCCCTGGAAAAACGGCAGATCTCTCCTCCGTTCGTTCCGCGGATCACCCACGAGCTGGACACCAGCAACTTCTCCGACGAATTTACGAAAATGATCGCGGCCGACAGTCCAGCGGTGGTTCCGCCGAACTACGACAAGCTCTTCAGAGGCTACTCGTACGTGGCGCCGTCGATCTTGTTCGGCGAGAACGTAGTTAGCAAGGACATCTTCAAGGAGGCTACAAAGACCAACACCGAGTCCCAGAGACCGTCCACTTCGGACGTCCTGGCTAGCAGATTCGAAGAATCCACCTTCTTCCAAAGTTATGAGATAGATCCTCGCGAGGATGCGCTCGGGGACGGCAGCTTCTCGGTCTGCCGCAAGTGCAGGCACAGGAAAACGCAGCAGGAGTTCGCCGTGAAGATCGTCAGCCGAAGAGTCGATTGCGGCAGAGAAGCCAGCCTGCTGAGGAACTGCCAGGGCCACCCGAACGTGGTCAAGCTGGTGGAGGTGCTGCAGGATAGAGCGCACACCTACGTGGTGATGGAGCTGTTGTCCGGCGGAGAGCTGCTCAGTAGACAGAGGCCGTTTACCGAGCTGCAGGCGAATAAGATAATGCGCCAGCTGGCTTCCGCGGTACGGTTCATGCACTCGAGGGGCGTCGTGCACAGAGACTTGAAACCCGAGAACATAGTGTTCGCGCACATGGGGGAGGACTCGCCGGTGAAGATCGTCGATTTCGGCTTCGCGAGAGTGAAGCGTGGATGTGAACCTTTGCATACACCATGTTTTACCCTACCTTACGCCGCGCCGGAGGTCGTGGCCAGGCAAGGCTACGACCAGAGCTGCGACCTGTGGAGTATGGGTGCAATTTTGTACTCGATGCTGTCCGGGAAGCCTCTGTTTAGAATCGGCTCGACGGACCTGATCACTAGAACCAGGGCGGAGGAGGTCGATTTCGAAGACGAGACGTGGAGCAACGTGTCCAACCTGGCCAAGCAGGTCGCGAAGGGCCTGTTGACCGTCGATCCCAACAAAAGACTGACCGCGAACGGGCTGGCGAACCACCCGTGGCTAGCCGAACCTAGTACTTCCGTCGACATGGCCACGCTCGACAGCAACACGAACGCCAGTCTCCTGGAGAAGCCAGAGGGCTTCCGGCTGCGAGAGGTAGACGGGGCGAGGCTCGCCCAGCGCCGGAAGCTGCATAAACGCTCGACTTCCAGCTCGGTGTCCTCCTCAGCATCCACGACCTCGTCCAGTCCCTCGATGCAACAGCTGCGACCGCCGAGCGTCGCAACAAATCATGCGACTTCCGCCTCGCCAGCTCAACCTAGTGTATTCGATTTCGGCGAGGACAAGGTGAACGAGTATCTCAGTTCGTTATCGTCTTCCTCGGACTCCAATTCCCCGCGGATGCAACAGGAAGTGACCAAGAAACGACGTAAGAGAGACAACGACGACGACGAAGCCAAGTCCAAGCGATACAAAAAACATGCTGACAGTGAAGTCTACAAAAGCAGAACCGGACCCGTGACCCGGTCCAGAAAGAGAAAACTGGAGGAGCAGACTGTCAACGGTGGCGACGACCTGGCAGTTTCGGTCGGTTCTCACACCGATCCCAGGGACGTCCATCGCAAACAAAAGGCCGGGAAACGGCCCAAACGGTTAGCGACCATCATCGTGGAGTAGATCGTGTTCCCACTTCGAATCGGTTCGGCAGTTTTGCACCTCCTCGTATCTCCTATGCATTTTCCACGTGATGATGATGTTGACGATGCTGTTGTTGTAACGTTGCTGCCTTCGAAGCTCACGCGTGAGCTAACCATTTCTATTTCATTCCTATTTCCGGAACTTTCCGCAGGGAGCACCCTTTCGAATTTCGTGCGTTACATGATTCAGACAGGCTTCCGTTTCCGGAGACCCTGCGCCCATACTAATTACGGGTCGACGGTGTATGGACGGTGCATCTTGACGCGACGCGCAGAATGATTGAAAAGCGTCTTTAAACTGGGAACGATATTTTTTTTTTCCTGAAGATTATAACGAATCTTTCACTATGACGTGTCCAGCAGAACATGTTTTCGGAATCTGTGGCAGTTTAGAATAATTTTGCAACAAGTAACGTAGTCTAAGGAATTCCGGAGACAGAGATTCGACGGGAAAAGAGTGCCTAATAGTAAGTAACACGTTTCATTTCGCTAACTTCTATACTCCGATTAAACGATGACGTATTTGTTTCCGAGACGATGCCAAGAGATACGCGATCGATCCTTTTCGCCAATCTGAACGCGTACTTGATTCGCAATGGGCTCCCCGCGCGACACCGTTCCTTATCGCAAATCTTTAAATTATTACATACATTTTAATTTTATGCTTACGGCAACGATCGAGCAGCGCCGCCGTCGAACATAGTTCTCCAAACACGAACGAAGGAACGCGATTCCTTTTTTTTTTCACATAAAGCAAATTTTCTTTTCTTTTTGTGCTACTATTCACCGTTCATTTAAAACACAGCAAAGTTATTGATTTCTTCGATCGAAGCCGGTGCAACGAAACAATGCAAGATTTTTAAAAATCAACAATGCCAATTTTGAATACATTTTTTACCGAATGTAACCAATCACACCGCGAATCTTCGTATCTTCTCGATTATCTCCAATTTATTTTTTACCTCCTTGACAAAACATGTTCGAGACTAACAAGTATTTTCTATGGCAAGCACTATGTTCGACCATAGCGCCGCAGTTTCGATATTACCGGGCATACGTGTATATAATACTATATTCTCCTATCAAGCGTCACAGTTGTTGCGGAGGAACGTCGACGTTCCTGGCCCAATCCTAACGCACTAGATCCTCCTTCTCGTTGATTCTTTCTTTCACGTTGTCTGTGATGAACCGTAAAAACGTTGAACCGCTTCATCGTTTCCCCCTGGGTGTGGTTCCCGATGCCCGAATCGCCTTCTACTCAGCCCCCCGACCCCCATAAGATACAGGATGATCCATTATCAGCGGCTAAGATCCTCGAAAATTAGAGTGGACGACTTTAGGAGAAACGTCCGGAAGCATAGAAAACTTCTTTCTCCTTCCTTTTTCTCCATTTTCATTCGTCCTTCGTTTTCCTCGAAATTCACCTGTGGTCTGATATTTTACTCCAGATTATCAAACTCTCGAAGAATTTCCTTTTCGTCGACTTCACGCGGCTGTCCAGCCGAGAGTAAAACTCTCGACAGCTGCTCCATAGTTCGGCGGACCCGTCAGGCCCCTTCCCCTTCCCCTTCTCCGCGGCTTGCCTAGCCGTATGCGGGGTTTCTCGAGGCTCCAGCCGTACCAGGACCACTGTCGGATAGCTATTCTCACAAAGGGAATCGCTTACTGCGAGAGTAGCTATCTGGCAGTGGCCCTAGCACGAGCCTCGAGACTCCGCATACGGCTTGGAAAGGCGCGAGGGAGGGTAAGGGGTATACCAAACTATGGAACAACTGGCGAGAGCTTTTCTCTCAGATGGACATCTGCCTTTGCATATCCTCTTTATTTCGTCGTTGATCCCACGCTCCTCCAAAGTCTTCCGCTCCGGGCAATCGTCGAGAGATACGGTGACCGCCGGCGAAAAATATAAACGAAACGTACGTTGCACGAAACGATTTCCGAGGCAATCGACCGTGAATATTCCTTAAGAGCGCGTGTCATCGAGCAGAACTCGACGCCTGTGTCTGTCCATCGCACGCCGCTTCTACTTACTAAGTTTCTAAATGGCGGTCCTCGGGAAGTCCCTCGTTTCAAAACAAAAAAAAGAGAATTTCGGCGCCTCCGGTCATCCGTCTGGTCGATCTGTTAGCGGACCATCGTGTACGATAAAATGAGAGAGAGAGAGAGAGAGAAAGAGTGAGGAACGAATCGAAAGAGGAAGAAGAGAGCCGAACGCGAGAACTCCCCGAAAAAAATTAGCAAAATGTGCCTCCGGAAGCTCGCCGACGACAGCGAGTGGATGAAAAGACAATTACACGTGGCGGCGAGACGCGCCCCCACCTCGAACGGGTCGTGAACGGCGAGGAAAACTTATTTATTTAACGAGATAGCCGTGTACACGACTAAAAAAAAGAATGCCTGGTGAGAGTGTATGCGTCGGACGTGAGAAAGAGGGTGAGAACGAAAGGTACTCGCCGATTTTACAGAGTACTCGAAACGGTTCTGTTCACGAGCATATATCGACAATGCTATTCTTATACATTGATTTTTAGTCCTGAATCTTTATAAAAATATTATATATTGAAGTATATATATATATATACACACATATATATATATATATATACATACACACACATACATACATACACAAGTAAACACACTCTCACACACGCATATAGATCATATGTACTTGTACACGAACGACACACGAGAACATACATGTGTACATTATTATACATATAGGATGTTAGAGATTAGTATTATAATACGTGTTTCTCGAAATTCCTTTCGTGCGAATGCGTTCACCGATCGAGCCGGATGTGGAAACCGATTGCTTCAAGGCCGCGGAAATTATGTCCTGCGTGTCCGATCCGATTGTGCCTAATTTTACGTTTCGAGTTATGCTTTCGAATTTCGTCCTTGAGTTCGATGACCGCCCACGGTAGTCCGATAATTGAAGCGGTGGGACGGATCGCGTGACCTTGAACAATCGGATTCGGGTTCGGCTCGAACTTTCGATCGAACGAGAACATACACGTGAGAGAGAGAGAGAGAGAGAGAGAGAGCGATTTAATCGATGGAGCATCGAATTGTTATTGAAGAGCGAGAAGGAGAGATAATTGCACTTTTTAGAGGGTGGGGTGGAGAGAGAGAGAGAGAGGTTTGAGAATGTTGAAAAGAATTTTCCGCAGCGAGATTTATTTTCGTAGATGTTTTTTGAACGCGACGTTTCAGCTCCTCGCCGCGCCCCATCGAGCCCCCCGCATTATGTCAACGAACATGCCTACTTCTAGTCCGAAATTGCTGTCTCGTGGAAGCCGGTTCGAAATTCCGATTTTTCTCTTACTTGCGTCAATCATATCGGCGAGGAGTTGAAGCTGCGGCGTTGTCGAAGAGATAAACAGAGGGGAAAGAGAGAGAGGAAGGGAAGGATTAAACGAGAGAGATAACGAAAGAGTGAGACAGAGCGTTGATTCTTTGAATGGTGATGGTAGTCCGTTACGTTTTGAGCTTCGTTGAACGATTGTTTGTTTAAACAGCGACTCGCGAATTTATTCTAAACCGTAGAGATAACGTTCTACAGTAAATGACAAATCGAAATTCCGTTTGAAGTGACACGGAGGGTGTGGCTTCGAAAGCCAAAATTACGATTGGTCACACCCTAGAATCTTACCATCTGCTAAAAACGTTGTATGAAAAAGGTCTTTTTACATTTTCGAATCGAATTTTCGCGTGATTTCTGTCGATCCCTGTATTATAAAGGACAAATGGTTTCAACTTTTGCACTCGAAGCTGTTTCAGAAGGCTTTCTTTTTTTACAAAAAATATGAAATTGGGCACTTTGTACAATACAATAGGAGATTTAATAACTTGGAAACGATGATTATTTTTTCTTTTTTTTTTTTACGTTTAATAGCATCTCTGAACTTGCCATTGGCGTGCAACTAATTGAACCGTAGGTATCTAGCGATGTTTGTTAAGGATTATTACTTTTTTATGTTAATTGGTCCGCGAGTTGCTGCGCGCGTTGATTTAGCCTGTAAAATGAAGGAACAAGTGTGCGAGAGAACGTAGGGAAAGTGGGAAACGTGTTTGGGAAGGAAAAATGGCGAAGACTGAAATGGTTGTACACCGACTCAGGGAACAGAGAGACGCGACCGAGGAAATTCTCTAATGAGCGAACACGAGGATAGGCGTTCCATGAAGTGTGGCGCGTGCTTCTTACCAAAGACGACCGACGCGATATATAAAGAACGAAATCGAAAATAAAATCGCGCTCGCAATCGTCGAGAGCGCGATACAGTATCGTGATTTATTCGGGCGTATATAATTATCGCGTACGAAAGAGAGATCGAGTGAAAGAGAGAATAATAAAAGAATCTAAAATGATAAAAAAAAGAGATAAGAGGGAGAGAAGAAAGACGATGATGGTGATGATGATAATGATGATGATAATGATAATGATGATGATGATGATGATGATGATGATAAACAGATGATGAAGATTCAAAGAATTATTTAAATGAAAAAAATAAACAGATATAAAAGAATTATATATTTAATATAAGTCTATACTAGATAAACAACAAAAAAAATATAAATAAATAAAACATATTTCTTTAATAAGAGGATATTTCTATTTAGGATCGTAACGAAGTCATTAACCGAGTCTTAATGAGTTGAGTCAGTTGGCCCGGTCCACGGAGGAACTGATTTCTCTTTTTCTAGATACATATATCAACTGTTACGTTATTAAGAATGGTGAGGAATGAACGGCCGAGCAATTCCCTTCGGAGAATGTGTATATTTGTACGGGACGTCGTAAGAGTCTAGTGCATTCTTTTTCCTAATTCGTATATTTGATACCCCATATCATCGAGGTTTTAGGTTCACGCACGTTCGCGAGGGTAAAAACGACACGATTTTTTTTGTGTTCGGTGGCGCTGAAACAAAAAAAAAGAAAACACGAAAAAACGTATATAGATATAAAATTTTCTTTGTACAACTCTGTCGGCTAGAAACATCGACAGGAAAGAAACGTGGACCGTACACGTTCGTCGTCAACGATCTTGCTTTCTAATCGCATTCTCAACGACGGATTGATAAAATATTGCGATAGACTTTTGAGACTTCCTACGTGTATGTATTATACATATATACATATAGCTACGTACGGATTCCAGCTTGTACCATACGATAAAAGAGTGCTGTTCTGTTGCTATAAGTACGTAAGAGAGACGAAATACCTTTGTTACTACTGGTTGTTAAATATATCATAACATAATATTTATTTACATAACTGGATTCTTATTTTGATTCGCGCAACCTATAACGCCTTTTGCGATATAAATTCCAATATTTTTTCTCTTACTTTTCTTTTATTGTAATTTTATCGTATAAATTCAAGAAGCAGAATACTATTATTTAATTATTAAACTAAAAAAAAAAACAAAAAAAATCCGTCGATCCTGCCAGGATTCGAACCTGGAATCTTCTGATCCGTAGTCAGACGCGTTATCCGTTGCGCCACAGGACCGTCTTATGAACAGCTTTAATGTTTGTTTATATAAGGGAATACCAACGACAGTAAGTAAATTTCTTACATTTAATCGTAATTAAGTTATTTAACTGTTATTAAATCTCGGTTCAGAAACGAGCGTACCAGTCTCTATCGCATGCATATTTACATAAAAACAATACTATAATTCACTTTTGATGAAGCACGATATTTATTTACAAATAATAAAATACAGTACACAGATCGAGTAATGGAAAATAATAATATGTACAGTTTTACGCAGATGAATGTACAAAATGCAGATTTATTCTTTCATTGTAAAATTAAATTTAAACATAGTCTCGATATTGCTGGCAGAATCGTCATCGGTCTTTGAAGAAGCATCGTCATCGACCAAATTCTGCGTTTCCTTTGTCGATTTACAAATTGCTTTTTTAACGAATACACATTTTTCCTTTTGCTTTGGAGCAGATACAAATTTTATGGATGACGCTGTTTTCCCATGTTTCTGCTGTTCCAAAGCCATTTTCTCTCTGTAATTTCCTAAAGTACTTCTCATTACTTGTCTCTTCTTTATTAGAGGAGCCGCATTGCTTTTTAAAATATTTATATTTTTAGTTAAATCTTGCATCTGCTTATCAGAAAGTTTGCCAGCGGTTAAAGATGTTTCTAATTGCTGAATGCACCAGCATAATTCAAGCTCAAATTGATCCTCGGCTTCTTGCGTTAAACCACTTGTGGTTTCTGCATTTTTATTTTCAGAAGTGCTCGCAGAACTTGTTGGTTTTGGGGTTGTAGTACTTTTCTTAGCCACTGTTGATTTTTTATAACCCTGCAAATTATAAACATAGTTGTCACAGTCTGCCAAAGGTTAAGAGTTACAAAACACATGTATATACGTCAGAAATGAATGTACATAACAATAAGTATACCGGCTTAGGTTTCGGAGGCATTTTTAGTTTACAAGTAACACCTTTATTCACTTTTTCATTGTGTTCGAATGCGACACTGTTATTGTTCTCAATTCCATCCAACAACAATTGGGGATATTCGATTCCGATTCGATTTTCAACGAAATCGATCCTTTTGCTTGAAAGATCGATCTTCTGGATCGAATTATTCGAGTTCAGTTTTTCCAAAAATCGTTTCTTTGATGTGTAATTAATCGAAAATAGCTTTCTTCCCCCAAAGGAAAATTAATTGTCACTAGCAGACAGACCAATCAAATTGCTCGATGTGTAGGTGTTTTATGATCGAAATATGTAGAATGACGTACCTAAAGGACAAGGCCAAAGATTAATTATGGTCAAATTAAGGCATAAAATAGTTCAGAAGAATCCATTGTGCCAATATCGTATACAAAAACAAATTAAACATAACGGAATGTAATTAATTGCACCTTGAAGTTCGATGAACTATTATGTTAATTAATTATATTTTGCTTCGTTCTCATTTAAGTTTCTTACACAAAATCGATGCAGCAGAATCTCCTGAAGAGCTATATACCTTTAGTTTAGCTTCTTATTCTCTAATTTTGCTATAATCAACGTTTCTAGACGACTCTATATTGTGCATACGTGGCGCCTCTAACGGAAAAACGGCGAAGCTGCTTTCTATGTCCATACAGCGCCAATTAGTCCAGTGACAAAACGCTCAAACTGTTCGCCGAATTCGACGGTTGGTAATTCGGCGAACAGTTCGAGCGTTTTGCCGCTGGACCAATTGGCGCTGTACGGACATCGAAAGGAGGTTCATTCTTTCCCCACAAGAGGCGCCACATATACACAATGTAGGATCACCTAAAAACATTAATTTTTGACAAAACTAAGGCAAAAAAAGCTAAACCAAGGACATATAACTGTTCAGGAGATTCTACTGCATCGATTTGGTATGCATCAACAAATTACAACTTTGTGAAACTTAATTAATTGCTCTTCAAAGTTTGATTAATATTATATTAAATAATCTTGCGTTATTGTTAATTGTTTTTCTTACACAGTATCGATCCAGCAAGTTCTCCTGAACAGTTATATGTCCTTGGTTCAGCTTTCTATTCCCTAATTTTACCATAATTAATGTTTTTATGCAGCCCTATCTTGTGTACATGTGGCGCCTCTTGCGGGGAAAAAATGAACCTCCTTTCGATGTCCGTACAGCGCCACTTGGTCCAGCGGCAGAACGCTCAAACTATTCGCCGAATTACCAACCGTCGAATTCGGCGAACAGTTTGAGCGTTTTGCCACTGCACCAATTGGCGCTATTTTTATATTTTCGAGAACAGTTGATTCTTGCCGGAATTTACATCACATCTTATGGAAATACTGGTATGAATCATCTGTACGTCGTATTTACAATAATAAATAAACTTTTTACGTATGATATAGATGCAGCAGATTCTGCTGAACATTTTGGTATGCTCGAAATATTTGTTTGTCTCCTAAATTGCCGGATGTCATGCCATTTCAAGCATAGCTATTCTTTTTACAGCAAGAATCATTTTCACCCTTAACAAATATTCAATATTCCGGACATTTTTATAACGTTTCGCTGTCAGTGAATCGATCACTTTTTAAGTAAAACGCATTAGCCGTAATTAGGGTGTCGCATGATTCGAATCTGATGCTAGAGGTTCGAAGTATTTTCGGTGTGAAAATAACCACGTTGACCAGAGTTATTAAATGTTGACGTAACCATTCTTGAAAAAAAAAATTCCATTAGATAGTTCCGTCGGAGTTCGCGCGTTTTCGCAGCGTCGCCGGATCGGCGCACGGTTTTCGGTTCCGATTGAAATCCGTAATATTCAACGTACGAAGGGCCCCGAGAGCTGTTTACGGTCGATCGAATTTCAATGAGAATCGTCGGTGACAGATCGTGCAGCAAGTTTATCCATTGCGGTGCTAGACAAATTGACGTAGCGGAGTCGGATGACCCTCTTAGGTACATCGGCGGCTGACAAACTGGTCGGAGCCCTCTTACAACCCTCTCCGCTGCCAAATTATCGGACTCCTGTGGACAGCAAACCCATTTATACTGTCCACCGGGCTAAGACTTACTAGGGCCACGGACAAAGAGGATCGTGTCGATCCGATCAGCCGATGCTCTGCCAAAAACGGCGACGTGATTGATAGTCCTCGAACGTTCGCGCAAGTATTCGCGTTCATCAGCGACATTTGCAGATACGCCAGAACCTGGGAAACATTCGTTTCGACGGTTCAACGGTCTCTTAAACGACGAACGCGTCCGAATGTCTCGCGGACTTTGATCGAAGCGGCATTCCAGGCTAGAACGCGTTTCGATTTTCTTCCTTTCCGGTAGTTTTTTTTATAGAGACAATATGCAACTTCTTGCGTCGGCGTTTTTCATATATATATATATATATTTGTTGCTGTTTCAACAACGTTTAAGAATTTTTTCAACGAATAATAGTCGAAATTAGCGTAGCACTAAGTAAACTAAAAAATAAACGAGGAAAACTCTTAATCGAGATCGTAGTTACGGCTGATCTGCCGTGCCGAAAAATGGTCAGAGGACAAGGAAATTAGGTTTCTTTCGACGCGGAGTATCGCGCCGGTGTTTCGGGGATCGAGTAACCTCCGGTGGCCCGATCTTTAGAAACGTATTTAGCAGTTTCGAACGCCGCGGCGCTTAACTACGTTTTGATCGCATGGCCGTCTCCCGATGTACTTTATAACGGCGCGGCACGGAATTACGTGTCTCGTTATTCTCGCGGTCCCGTAACCGTGCCCCGTAACACAGTCTGCTGCTGCGTGCGTCATTAACTAGAATTATTCGCCGAAAAAGGAGAATCCGCGCGAACATGTGCGTCCGCGCGTATTCGTCCGTCTTCTTTCGACAAGTTGCGGAGATCGTTGAAGACACGGTTTCGTTGAGAGACAGACAGACGGACGGACACAGAGAAAGAGAGAAATAGAAACAGAGAGGGAGAGAGAAATAAAAAGAGGGAGAGGGGGAAATAGAAGGAGATAGAGAGGGGGAGAGAGAGAAATAAAAAGAGAGGGAAGGAGAGAGAGGAAAATAGAATCAGAGAGAAAGGGAGAGAGAGGGAGAAATAGAAAGAGGGAGGGAGAGAAAAATAAAAAGAGAGAGAGGGGGAAATGGAAGGAGATAGAGAAATAAAAAGAGAGAGAAGGAGAGAGAGAAAAATAGAATCAGAGAGAGAGAGAAAAAGAGAGAGGAATAGAATTAGAGAGGGAGAGAGAGAAATAGAAGGAGATAGAGAGGGAGAGAGAGAAATAAAAGGAGAGAGGAGAGAGAGAAAAATATAATCAGAAAGGAAGGAAGAGGGAGGGAGAGAAAAATAAAAAGAGAGAGAGAGAGGGAGAAATGGAAGGAGATAGAGAAATTAAAAGAGAGAAAAATAGAATCAGAGAGTGAGAAAAAGAGAGAGGAATAGAATTAGAGAGGGAGAGAGAGAAATAGAAAGAGAGAGAGAGCATAGGAGGAGGAGCAAAAATGTTAAGAGATTGGAGTTTAAAGCCCGGCGAACAATATGGCGGACCGGAATGGAGTGAAACGATGCCGGGGGCTGTCGGATGGAGTGAGTACGGTCGACAGTAGTTGGTGGGCTATAATAACGTATAAAGTAATTAAGGACATCGGGCGACAGCGGGAAAAGGGGACAGCAGGGGCACGGGCACGGTCGCGGGGCGCAGAGGGGCGGCAGGAGCAGGACGAGGAGGAGGCGGCGGAGGTGGAGGAGGTGGTGGAGGGCCGGAGGGAGGCCGGGAAGGGGAAACGGACAGTTTAGGGAATGCGACATTTACATAGTAATTAAATCGCGGGAGCAAGTGGGACCGTTGGGGAAGATACTGGTGCTCGAGCAATTACAGACGCATTAGATTGCGGTAAGCACTTGTTTATGGCCCACCCTGGCCTACGTCGCTTCACTCGACTCGATTCCGACTGTGTTCACTCGTTCGCCAAGGCAGTTACACCGGCCGGCTTCTTCTTCCCTTTTTCCGCCATTAACTTGTCCGTGGGATATCCGCGGGGCCGATCTACGCCCTCACGAATTCCGTCGCCGGAGTTCCTTCGGGAAAAATCGGCTCGTTATCGACACCGCGCCGATACAGTGCTCGCTCGAAAATTTCGGAACGTTCGCCGATCCTCGGCGAACCGACCTCGCGACGCGAACGGCTCAATTAGGAGCAGCGCGATTTTAGACGCGACGGTCGCTGGCAATTATTCTTTGGTCGAGGTCGCACGTCGAATTTATACTTGTGATATTGCTATGGTCGCACCGCGGATTTATTATGCAAAGTAAAGATTGCATCGTCCCATCGTTGGATAATAATCGCTAGAAAATAATGCGACTGCATTTTGAAATTCTTCAAGAATGTTTCTACGATTTTGCTTAGTTCATCCGCTCGTGTTTATCATACGCGCATCGAATGCACATCGAATAAGTCGATTTTTATCAGCGCGCTTTTGCTGGCCGCGCAACGATCCGCCGATTTCATTAACAAAATCACTTTGGCAGCCGATGCGCGCTCCGATTTTTTTCTCTCTCTCGCGCGCGCGCGAAATCGACACGAAGCGCGTCGAATAAATTGACTCGTTCGAGGATAAATCGCGATATAAATCGCGGGGAGAGCACCGTCGAGAACGCGTTCTCGTAATTTTTACGAGACGCCGGGAACGAACGAACGACTTCTGGACGGAGAATAATATCCGCGGGACGAGAGGGGCGGGTTATGCTAACAGCTGGTCAGCCCCGAGGGTCCTTTCCGCTTCGTTCGGCGACGGACGAAGACAACGATGTGTCATCGTTGTCGCTAATTGAATATCGCACCCTTACCCTCCGACGGTTCCTGCCGGCGCGACGCAACGACGATCGAACAAGCTTTTAAGTAAAATTCCATTCCCGGTTCATATACGGCGGGGCCCTCCCGCGCGCACCCCCGCGCGGCCGCCGGAATCACGAGCCCGGGCTCCCGGACAAAATTAATAACAACAATCGCTCCAATTAGTTAATTGAACCGGGTCGGGCGGACGCGGTTGACGCGTGTTTGTTTCGCCGGCGAATTCATCGACGACGAAAGTAGTCGAATAAAATGTTGCTCGGCCGGAAGCTTTCGATGGAGCCCGATCAAATTGAATCACGGACGCGTTTCGATACGCGTTTCGCTCCGGCGTCCTTCGATCGAATGTCCGATCCATTAATTTGCCGCTTTTTAGGACGATTGAAAATATTTGGAACCGTCCAGCGCCTTTCAACTTTCGACCCGCGTGACTCGCAGTGGCTCGGTCAATCTTGACCCGGAGCACAGTGATTTCTCCCTAATTATCGCGCCGAGATCGCGGCTCGTTTTTATAATTTTTGGCAATCGGTAACTATCAAAATATATATAATATAATATAATATAATATAATATAATATAATATAATATAATAATATTAATTATTATAAAAATATATAATAAATAGTATATAATATATATACACACGAATAATCGAATCTGCTCTTCCCAAATCGTCAATTTTTATTTCCAAAGCAGAGCATCAATTAGGGGATGAATTTACCGTAATTTCATTTA